AAATCAAAGTGGGCTCTACTGCAAGAAGTAGAAAAGGCATAATAATGTAGCAGATGACCAGCTGAGTGGCTGCCCAGGTCAGGATGTCATAACCCAGCTTCAAGCCTCTGGAACCCAGGAAGTAGTGGCGAACAGACCTCCGTATCTGGTGGAGAGACGCAGATGAACAGAGAGGGATAAAAACTGGTTTCACACCTGTGGAAGAAGAAGTGTACTGAAGCTGCCGTCTGCTGTTGACATCATTTCAGCTAACCCAGTGAAGCTACATAAGCAAGAACTGTTTAACTTTCCTTCATCCATTTATCCTCATATTGTGTGAATTAAAACTACAGATACTACATTTATTTATGTTATATTCCGCTGTGGAATAACATCTGCTTTGATCCACAGGTCAGCGGGATACTCTTGTTGGTTCCCGTCTGAAAACTCAGGTGAAGCTGCTCAACCAGCCTGGAAAGGTTGGACATTTAATACAGCTGTCAAAATTGTAAAATTACAATGGGAAAAAAAAAACGGACTTTTCCATTTGGTGTTGGCTCTGCACTGGAGCATTTATTAGTACTCACTGCTCGTGCTGCTATGGTGATAGGGATCGTAGTGATGGCGCTAATATAGTACCCTGGATAAACTCCATGCCACAAGGCAGACAGGATAAAGGTCAAAGGCACCTTGTACCTGGGGACTCTGTCATAACACACCCTGAGGAGATGAGAGGAATCAAATGTATTCAAGTTTGTGAAATGGAAAGCTGATCAAATGTTTTCTGACTTAATGAAGTCATTGCAGCACTTACGTTTTGAGCCAGATTCCTGTTCGAATATTCCAGTTGTCTATAAATGTCTTGAAGCTGGTTGCAGCCTGAAAAGAGAGCGATAAATAAGAACAACCACATAACAGTAACTGTGTGCTCAATTAATGTACGCAGGTGACCTTGTGGTATTTAGTCCTAGTTCATCAGGTCTTCAGCAGCTCTTGAATGTGTGTTCTGTATTTGGAGATCTTTATGATGTTAAGTATAATATTGTTAAAAGTGTTATGATATGCCGTTCAAAAGAGGACAGGTCCCTTGTGTTTCCTTTTTTTTAAGCTATCTGGTAATATTTTAACTGTATGTAATGAAGTTAAGTATCTGGGTATGTTATAAATGATTGTTGATTGACCAATGACGGGGATATGTATCGGCAGTGCCATATGTTGTATGTGCAAGCAAAGGTATTAGCACAGAAATTTGGTTCATGCTCGGATGAGGTAAAATTGACTATTTAGAGCACATTGTTCCTCTTTGTACACTGCCCATCTATGGTCTAATTATAAAAAAGGCAGTCTTTGGAAATTGACTGTGGCTTATAATGACGCCTTGAGACTATTACTGAAAAGGCCTAGATGGGTGAGTGCCAGTGAATTGTTTGTGTCACTTCGAGTTAGTACTTTATCAGCTGTTTTAAGAAACCTGATGTATAAATTTATCTGTC